AGTATGCTCAAGCATTTAATTCTATAAATATCGCCATTGATTGTGATGCTTGAGCGTCATCACGATCATTCTTTAATTAATTGATTTAGATGCTTGAGAACGGCCTAAATCTACTTTAAAAAAAAGAAAATCCTATCCATCATCATTGTCTATAGATACCTATTATAATACAATTGAAGCTATCAATAGAGCTAAAAAAGCAAGGGCCAACCAATCACTGATTAGATGGGTTGTGAGTTCGGGCATTTCCTTTTCAACTTTTGATAATTTGTACTTCGAAGATTTCACAAAAATATTAAACCTTGGATATAATTCATCTAGGTGTAATACATTAGCATTGTTGGTTTTAGATGCAGAAGTAGCAAATATTACTTTAAAAATAAAAAAGGAACTATTTAAAGCTAAAAATCTTACTTTATATATAGATAGTTGGTGTAGCCCATTAAAACATAATATATACGCTTTTGTTATTATAACAAATAAAAGAAAGCAGTATGTCTATTCTTTACAAAATTTTTCTAAGTTTTCCCATATGGCAAATTTTAATGCTAAAAAAATGATAGAAATATTAGAAAAAGTTGGTCCAGAAAAATTTATCGCAATAACTACTAATGCTGAATTAGCGATGATGGTAGCCAAACGACAAGTTATAGAAAAATACCTCAAAATTTTACCTATAAGATGCATTGTGCATCACATCCAAAAGATTCTATCAGATTGTCAAAGTATTATAAGTTTTTTAAAAATTCTTACTGTGCTGATGCTGCCCTTAAAGAAGAATTAAATTCTCTTCTACTGTTGGTGGGAATCTAAAATCGATGACTAAAACTCAGCAGAGATTCTTGTGAGTCTATATTACGCAATGAAGCAAATATTAGATCAGTAAGTTTATAATTATATTTTGTAATAGCGATCTATATTATTTTTCTTTGCTATATGACAACATACTTTGATACATATTGATTAATAATTGAAAGATATTACAATACATATTGATTAATAATTGAAAGATATTGATAGAAAGATACAATACATATCGATTAATAATTGAAAGATATTGATAGAAAGATACAATCAGTGATCAATCATAATTTTCAAATTAAAATTAATATATTAGAGTAATGACACATTCGATGATTTTTACGAATAATAAAAATCATCGGTTGTATCATCTTCGATAAATAGCTAAAATTTCTATCACTATTCACTATATTTTTTTGTTATGTAGTCTACTCTATACGAACACCTTTTACTATATAAAGTTGTACTAATTAACTATTTTTATAGGTTTTAGAACAAGATCCTCAAGTTTTTAATTGTGCAAGCACTGTAAAAATTTAATTAATAATCATCAATTTTGAATTGACGTTGAGCAATTGTGAAATATTCTTGGCCTAGTAAAACGGGCTATAAAATGCATAGAGTTTCAAACTACTTTGTTGGTAAATGTATTTGTTGAGATTTCAATCCAAGAAATTTCTGTTCTCTATAATAGCCAGTTTTGGAATGACTGCATTGCAATTTATAATAGGCGATGAAATGAATTTGATATAGGATTATATCTTTTAGCATTCTTTCTGCACCCAACTTATCGCGGTATTTTAAAAGTCTAACAGATATTTAGTGTGCTTCAAACACATACTTAAATTATTATTATTTTTTTTATGACAGGAGATTTTCTTGAGCATAAGATATACAAGAAGTATGTTCTTAAAAAAGTACTGGAAATGTGAATACAATTAGGTAGTGGTTGGACAAGTTGCGAACTTTTAAGGACTCAAATGAATCTGTACAAAAATAAAGAAGATCCCTTTGAAGAAGCATTTATTGAATCCGCTAATATAGTAATTAATTGGTGGATATCTATAGAACTCAAAAAAAATAAAGACTACATCAAGATGCTTGCTATACGAATTCATTCTATTTCTCCTCATAATGCTGCGTGTGAACATACCTTTAGTATACTAGGCTGGTATTTAGAAAAAAGGTGAACTAGGTATATATTTATCATAACTATATGACATATATATACATTTATTATATATATAGTTTTAAATGCTATTTTTAGGTTAAGCATTGATTGACTAGAGTTAATAGCTCAAATGCATTCGTTTTTAGTAGAAAATGCCAAATCAGAACTTAACTATGTTAACCAAAATCTTTGCCATGAGAATTTTTTATCTATTTTTAATAAAATTGCAAATTCTATGGAAAATGACATGATTTATTTAATACTAATTCTGTTTCCTTTCCAGAAGAACTTGAAGAAGATATGGAAGAAGATATAGAAGAGTCTTCTGAGGAAACAGATAATTCTGTCAGTGAAAATTCATTAAATTTAGAAATTGGAAATTTTATATCTTTATCTTCCAGACTAAAATTCAACGAATCGTCAAGCTTAAATAAAGAAATTGAACATGGAAATAGAGATTTTGATGTGAATGATTTAATCGGTAATAATTCTGACTAATAACTATACTTTAAACAGAAGATGGTTAATTTTTTTAAAAAAAACTTGAACTATCTAACTAAACCTGATGATTCTAAAGGCATATACATTAGAAGCGTTATTTTATAGAAATTGAAGTTGGAAAAATGAACGTAGAGTATTGATCTATATTAAATTAGCAGTGAAACATATAATGCTAGATATTATTATCTCAGTAGAACTGAGCTAAAAAAGGTAAATGTAAGGCGAAAATATAAAGAATATTAATTGATAATCCACCAGTCACCTAAAGAATGATAATAGTAAAATGTGACTCAGATTACTATATAAATTTACTATAGTGTGAATATGGCGATCACCCAAGGTAAACTTTTTTTCATACTAAGTTAATTACCTTTCTTGCTTAAGAAACTTTTGTAAAGCTTGTCAAAATGAATCTAATGGTAGTTAGAACGTCAAAATCGACCTGGTGGGTGCTAAGATATCTTTAAAAAACCTCTCTTTTACTATATAAATTTCTTTGTAAACAATACTATTGTTTGCAAAGACATACGGACAAACTCTTTCTGATGATCACTTGGACCAAAATTACCAATTAAAAGGAGAAATAAGAAGTCTGTTGGAGAGGTGTATAAACTATTAGAACAGTTTGTAGAAAGGTTAACTGGCTCTAGGGACTTCTTTCTACGTTCAACATGCAAGCCAGAAGCCTCACCAAGTAATAGTGAAGAAAGCAGGCGGCGCTTATTACTCAAGAATAAATTTTGGTGGATTCATTTGTCGATGAAGTTCTATAGTTTACTGTTCTAAAGGTCTACAATAGTAGTTTTTAGGATACAACAAAGTGGTTAATCTTCTTCTTGGGGACTCCCTCCTATATTCGACATGCAAGCCAGAAGCCTAGAAACAGAAGTGAAAAAGCAGGTGGTGCTTACTGCGAATA